CTATCAGTTCTTATCCCTTTTTGTCGCCCACAGCCGGTTGTCCCCATATCACCCCATGTCATTTGGAACCAGCACCTGGCTATCGCTGCGACTCGCGCTGTGAATACGGTGACCCTACTTTCTAACGCCCGTCATCGGGTCTTACAGCAGCTTACACTTCTTGTCACCCTACAAAAATGTTCGTATCTCGTATCCTGTACCATATCTTGAAACTAACACCTAGCTGATGCTGCCATCCGCGTTGTAAATGTGCCCACCCCTCTAACGCCTCTTATGAAACTTATCCACTGCTATCAGTTCTTATCACCCACCAAGACTATTCCTGTCCTACAACCTAGTCCTTGAAACCAACTTCCTTGATACCATAATCAGGTCGCGACTAAAAGACGAACGGAAAGAAAACAAGAAGAATACAAAAAAACACCACAGAAACGTAACACAACTCAAGAGAACACAACACAGATGAGCTCAAATGGCACAGAACGCAACAAAATGTCAGTGGAGTGGTAGAATAAGTATAACTACTACCTACAAAGTTCATCATAGGTAAGGAATTGTCCAGTCGAGTATGTAGTAGAAAACAAAGAAAAGAAGAATGAAGAAAAAGAATATGACGACCTTCCCATTCCAACGCCTGTTATCAGGTCTTATCGCTTCCTTCCTATCACCTCCAAATGATGTTCCCGTCGCACCCCTACATCTACCACTGTCGGCTAATGCCGTTTGGCCAGTAATTTCGGCTGCGAGTTCATTTTAAAAGTGGCAAGATCACCAGATCCGCTTAAAACTTGTATATAGGGGTAAATCAACATCCTGATCACGAATATGACATTCATTTTTGGCGCTAGCGCTAACGGATGACACTACGGCTACCTGCGCTCTGCTAAGGCTGAGCCCAGGAGGAAATCGTATGTCCTGTCTTGGCGCCAGCGCCAATAATGAGTGTCATACTCGTAATCAGGATGTTGAATTATCCCTATATACAAGTTTTTAGTGGATTTGGTGACTTAGGCAATTTGAAAATGAGCTCGCAGCCGAAATTTCTGGAGTCCAAACGGCATTAGCCACCACTGCTTCACTGCTACTATGGCGGGCGCTATGACTGTGACAGAGAGATGGACGCACACACACGCACAGACAGATTTAGCGAATTATATAGCAGGAAAGTAAGACCTTGGACGGGATTCGAACCGCATCTCCCGTTACTGATGGTCGCGTTATCTATTACGTTACCGAGGCCGCTTTGCACTCCTCTCAGCTCAAAGGCTTTTGGTGCTAACGTACTTGGGGGGGACCACGCTGCTTGCGGCGTGCGATGACTCATCTGCTCTCCTGCTCCCTCCTCGGCAAAATATTAGGTTGGCTAATAAAGTAATGGCCGTCTTTTTCAATTGAAAAATTTGTTTGAAAAGTGAAACGTTTTGCAAGCAAGTTATATATCATCTGATAGGAAACTTCTCGTAGTATAAGAATATCAAGAAAGCTTTGGTTGAGAATATAGTTTTTGGGAATTTTTTAGTCGTTGAGTTGCGAAGTGAAGTCGGCGAAAATTAGCATCTTCGACAACTGCCTTTATTTGAAAATTTCATGCTAATAGTTGAATTAATTGAATTTGAATTTGATATTCTAATACTACGAGAAGTTCGCTATTAAACGATGTTAAGCTTGCTTGCAAAACTTTTCACTTTTTGAAACAATTTTTTCAATTGAAAAAAACGGCCATTACTTATTAGCCAGCCCACTAGCAGTTATTAGCCAGCCACTAGCAGTGGGCTGGCTAATAAGTAAAGGCGGTTTTTTTCAATCGAAAAATTTGTTCCAAAAGTAAAGCGTTTTGCAAGCAAGCTTAATACGTTTAATAGCAAACTTCTCGTAGTATTAGAATATCAAATTCAAATTCAATTAATTCAACTACTAGCATGAAATTTCAGGTGGAACAGACGTGAGCCTGCCCATATTGGCAAGGTGAAGGTTGCCAGCTTCGAAATCCTTGAAATTAGTTCCAAAGCGTCCTATTGAGATTCCCTTGCTCAGACTTCTACCTCAACCTTTTCCGAATGTATAGAGCAGCTCAAGCGATTTTAGCACTTCGAGTAGACGTAAATAGAGGCAGTTGTCGAAGATGCTAATTTTCGCCGACTTCACTTCCAACTTCAACGACTAAAAAATTCTAAAACTATATCCTCAACCAAAGCTTTTTTGATATTCTTATACTACGAGAAGTTTCCTATCAGATGATATATAACTTGCTTGCAAAACCTTTCATTTTTTGAACAAATTTTTCAAATGAAAAAAAACGGCCATTACCTATTAGCCAACCTAATAGAAGTAATTTTGTGTTTAGGACATGGATATAATGCCGACCTAGCTATATTAATACAGTAACGCTCAAAAGTCCGAAGGAACTGTTGTGGGCTGGAAGATTTGAATCAACTACAAAATTTTGTTGCCTTTTTGTTGTTGAGTATTATTGTTGATTACAAAGGATCAAACATTTGTTTTAGGCTTGCGTGGGATTTCTCAGCAAGTACCCAGTGAACCTTGTTTGTTTTATTCTAATTTGACTGCTAGAATCGCCGTTCAAAAATGCCGATGAGTGAAGAGCCGCGCGCCGCGTGGTCCCCTCCCCCCCCCAAATACGTTAGCACCGGGCTTTTTGTCTCATAGCCTTGGAGCACCCGCTCGTAGAGCGCTCAAGTGAGAGCCGCTTAGCCGATATCGGCAGTGAACCGCGAGGCTGAAGGATTTACATGTTTTACAGCTAATTTAGTATGATAACTGTGGGGCCTGGTAGCGTAATGGATAACGAACCGCTCGATAAGCAGGAGATGCGGCATCGTCCCCGTGGCTTCTGTCCATATAACTCAGCATGCTTGTGATAAGTTTCGGAGCGCAAACTGGGCCGCAAAACAGCAGTTACCGTACTAAAACTACTAAAATACTCGCAACGGTTGAATAATCACTAAAAACACTACTCGTGATTGTTATCTAATCACAGAACTTCGTTCACCGAAAAACGCAAAAAGCCCGTTCGGTGAATACCGCTGGTACAGAAAAAAAAAGAATTCGATGTTTGAACGGAGCCATCATCTGTAAGACATCGTGCGAAAGACATCGGAACCTATAGCTGTCCTAGTTTTTCAGTTTCAGAGTCAAAGTTTTGGTCTAGTGAAGTACTTTTCTTTAGAGGTACACTATAGGCTTTCAGCATGGCCTGACTATAATACTCGTTTGGCTTGATAGCACCTCATCCTTGCACAGCGGGATGGGTGCACCAAAGAGCTGTTTTTACACCAGACTTTTTTGGTTCACCATATAGCGGCGCGTGTAACGCGCGCCATGCATTAGCCAGACGAGTATTACGTTCGTACTCATTTTGTCAAGCTGAACTAGAGGATTATGATCGCGTGCGCTTTTAAAGACTCATGGCTCGATCATACATAGTTTGGGTGTTCGTGGCTAACAGCCCACAACTGTCGAAGCGTAGCGGTCTCCCAGCCCTAACACGCACAGGAATGGAGTTACAGGACCGTGAAACACGCTAATTCCTCCATGCTCCCCCCAATGCCTTTTTGCGGCGCAGACTTCCGCTAATGCTAACAGCTGTCGCGTGCGGCACTCTTGGCACTTTGCCAAGTCCTGTAATTGCGCTCTGGAATACAAGTAAAACGATCTCCTGATACGCAGCATAGTAACGCGATTTCCTGATGCGGATAGCATTTTAGGTCTGCAAAATAAGAACCGGAGATGATGACGAGGGCCAGAGCTCAAGAGCAACTGTCTGCTTCTGCAACATCCCTCAGAGGCCGCGCATTCCCACAAGACATGAATTAAAAACGGCCCTTTTGTTAGTTTAATACAAGCAGAACGCAATTTCCTGATGCGGATAACATTTGAGGTGTTGCTCATGCTTCAAAGTCCGAATAGAATGTGATGAAGATGACAAAGGCTAGAAATGAAGAACAACGAATGTAGATGTAAATGAAACAAAAATGAAAAGATTAAGGAATGCAAATTAATTAAAATCGATTTCTGATTTCTGCAATTCGGCGCGACTCCGACTCCAAGCCCTAAAGTGGACGCTAAGGCCGTTTCTATTTTCATGTTTTGTGGGAATGTGCAGCCCCCGAGAGGTGTTGCAGGAGCAGCGCAGTTGCTCTTGAGTTCTGGCCCTCGTCGTCATCTTCGGTTCTTATTTTGCAGCACATAAAATGTTATCCGCATCAGGAATTCGCGTTTTACTTGTATTCCAAAGCGCAATTACAGGTCGTGGTAGAGTGCCAGAGCCGCAAGCCACCCGCGCGCAAACAATGGCTGTTAGCATGAACGGGAGTTTGCGCCGCAAAAGGCATTGTGAGGAACATGAAGGAATTAGCGTCTTTCACGGTCCTGTATATCCATTCCCGCGCATCTCAGGACGTAGGACGCGGCAACCGCTACGTCAAGTGGGGGAGGCTTTTAGTCACGCACACCCAACGATGTGTGATCGTACCATGTGTCTGTAACGCATGCCCTGATCCGAAAAATGCGCGGCACCGTTAACCGTCGCTCATACCTCGCGCTAAAGTGAAGAATCGCAAAAGGGTATGTCCGCAAAAAGGATTCTATACAGGCCCTGTTTCGGAGACTGAAGGTGTGTGACTGCTTAATTCTTTTAAACGCGACGGCGGCTGCGCTTTTGGAGAGATATTTGACGTTTTGGGGCAATTTTAATAAACTCCTTTTCCATCACAGCAGAGGATGGCAGCTCCCTCAACTGCTTCTATCTCATGACATGTATTCCAAGTGACATTAATGTAAAGTACGTAGCCACGCCTCTCCATTTCCGGGATAAGCAATGTGTTCGATGTATTCAATTTTATATGAGATATATGTCGCCCGTGTCCGAAAGCTTGCTTTGCCGACTTTATAATGTGGAAGAAATGCCCCATAAATCAAGCGGAACGCCACAAAGGGCTGCGTCTGCCTGTCACAAGGCCCGTAATGTGTGCTTGTAAACTATGCTTAAGATTTGCATTTTCAGCCTTAAGGCTTTGGACTTGGTGACGTTGCGAGAACTCGCCAAGCGGGTCAATGTGATACCTCTGATAGCGAAGTCGGACACGACATGCAAGGATGAGCTGATCCGCTTTAAAAACAAGGTGTGTGTTCATTGCTCAGAAGCTTCAGGTTTTTCAGATCATTGTTTCAAATAATTTGGTCTTTTTGGGTTGGGAACTTGCTATCACTGTTTCAGATCATTTCATTTTTTGGTTTTCAGATCATTAGCGAGCTGCGCAGTCACAAAATTGAGATCTATCAGTTTCCGACAGACGACGAAACTGTGAGTTGGGTTTGAGGTTCTACTTGAGTCACGCTCATCGTCCAGTAAAATTACAATTGCTTTTCTTACCTTTTGCGCAGCAGAGCGATGCTCATCAAAAATGTCGTATTTGACCGCTCTAGTTCATCACTCCCGAGGCGCGGCATCGCACAAGAGTCGGCTTATACTAGGCTGAGCCCGTCAGATTGATTATTATGCCAGCAAGTAGCAATCGTCCCACAGCACCACCGTTTTCGCAGCTGCTCCTTTGTGCGCTACCTCAAGCTTGAAAGCTACCATTCCCTTGTGCCTCTTTTCAGTAAAATCTGGGGACACTCGTCGTAATCGTTAGGGTTATCTATATTTCATGGCACTATAATTCAGCATAAAACTGGGATGGATCACGGTAGCCTCTTGGTGTACGCAGTCCCAGTTACGGAGAACAAAACGATGGAACTCCCAGAAGTGTTCTATCATGGCGGACTGGGCTGCCATGATAGAAGACTTCTGGGAGGTTGGGGCTACCAGTTAGGATAGCTGTTTTGCTCGCGATGGCGACCTTCGGATGCTGAATAGTAGAACTGAACTACTTTGAGGGAAACCGTGTTTTGAGCGAGTAAGAAGGACGTCACCATTCCTTCCACAAGAAATCGTACAGTCAGGGGTACTCACAGGGATGAGCATATCCCCAACCTGAGTTATTGCAGCGCAATATGTGAGTGCCCTGAGTGAATCTGTAGGAACAGAAATTCTTAGGTTCAGTAGCGCAACGCAGAAGACCCACGAACACTCAAAGAAGCTTCTCTTTATTACAGTCTGACCTTGGAGTCAATATGCGTACCAAGAAGACGACCTAGAAGAGTAGAACAACCGCCGAGATTTCGGATCAATGTTTTTTTATCTGGAAAGCGCTAAAAAAAGGAATCAGAAGATCTGGTCAAAGTAATTGGAAAATGAATTTCGAACGAATTATGGGATACCGATCACCTACTAACCTGCTTTTGCGGTTGCTCGCTTACGTTGGACCAGATCATCTATGAAGGCAGTACAAAGGAACAGTTTTCACTACCACTACGAAGGAACCTCTTTCACACAGCTGGGATCATCTTGGATGTCCATCACCGGGGAAAAGGAAACGCAGTGAAGAATTGGACTCACATTTTTAGTAAATAAGTATGAAAATAGCTACAAACGCTTCAATAAATACAAAAAATAGCTGTGAACGCTTTATATTAAAAGGCACGTACGGCGAACAGAAATATTTGGTAGTGGCTCAGATACGAATGGCGAGATCAACTCAGTAGAAAAGAAAGAAAAACGTAAAAGATCCCCGAAATGTCTAAGATAGGACCCCATCTCCCCGAGCTTGTTTAGGCATACAACGAAGAAGGGCGTGCTCGGACACGTTCCCACTTATCAGTGTCACCAGTTTTCGCCCCGTGGGTGCCGCCTCCGTCCCTCTGACCCTTACCTTAGGCGAAGTCCTACCACCCAACTGCTGTTCAAAATCCATATGGCTCCCTTGGCTTTGCTAACGGTCGATTCTATCAGAATTTGCTCCATTCCTTATGCTACGAGAGCACCTCGTTGAATGGTTCAGGGTGTACCACCTAGATGTCTTATGTAGCAGAGGGGGTTGTTATCATAACAAAGTGCGTTGAGTTATGTGGGTACTTCAACCAGCCGGCTTCCTGTTTACTACCGGTCACTATTCCCCATAACTTCCCCTATCACACTCCCGAGACAGTTTGCTGACGGAGAGACAGGCCGACCAATAAAACGCCAGCCTCTCCTCCTTCTTGTGACACGACCCATCGCCGGGCAGGCCTGAGTCTTCAAGCTGGTCCTGACTGAACTACTCAAGCCAACTTCCCCTTCATCCTGGCTTCATAACAGAACGGTTATAAATTCAGCGTAAGCTGAGCGAACTAACAGTTCTCAACTCATCTAACGCACTTGCATAAAGAGCACCTGTCTGTCTTTTGATTGTATCGGTGTAACAACGTAACAAATATTCACACTACGTTCCCAAACAAAAATGCAAACAAATAACTCGAATATAACCGAGTTACCGAGTATCATCCACCAATCTGAGTCGACCCGTAAAATGTCTAGATTTTTAATAAACGTTGGCTATTTCCGCAAATGAAAACGTTGGGCTGCGTTCATAGCTTGCGAACGTGAACTAATGCAGAAATGAAGAAGTGCGGAATCTACGGAAATGACGAAAAGCATGAAATACATATCGAAGAAATGCATAAATGCGGAGTCCATTCCACATTGCTAGGACCGGCGCTATGAGTTTGATGACCCGCAGTTTCTAACGCTCCTCACGTCCTATCAACGATGTCACCCACCAATAATGGTCCTGTCCCATACTCTATACCATACCAGTTTGGCTGACGCGCACTTCTGCGCGCATGGCTCCTAACACGTGGGCTGACTTAAATGTTTCGTAATACGCTCCATTTCTACATATCTCTTTTCATTAATGACCATTTGCCAATGAGCAGCGCTTATCACCCTTCTAAGAACAATCACCATTCATCTGAAATACGGACAGCCTAGCGGTCAAAAGAGTTTTGCTTTCACATCCTGGAACATTCGTAAAAAAGGTAAAACAGCTTCCACGTATCTGCCTGTGGATGGCGCTTATCATTCCTCATTGGAATATAGTTTCGCGTTCTTTTTTTGTTGAAACTCGAGAGTTTAGCATTCGAATAATTTCGGCTATATCGCTAAAGGATATAAACATGTTGACTCACTAAGACTTTGCTCAGGGATTCTTGAACTACGGTGGTTGCAGGTCAGATGCAAGGAAAGAAAAGATGCGAGCAGTGACTCTTATAAGCCCTTACCGGACGCTATATCACAACCTCAGTCATTGTTCCTCAGCCATCCCTGAATTACTTCTTGGAAGCAGTTTCCGCAGTTGCCGAAGCCTGTGCTGTGAATTTTAGGGGAATTCTCTTTGAAGGAAGAACCCGCGATTACTCGTCATCTCAGATGGTGGATTAGGGGGTTCCACGTAGGCGAACAAGGGGTTGAGTAACTCGACTGTGAACAAAAAAAAGCACAAAAAACATGCCACCTGCCCTAGATAAAACCCCATTTCGATCCCAGTTTGTACTTGCCCAATCAACTCTATCTTCAAACCACGCCCTCATATGCACGGCTGATTCACCGTAAGATTTCTACGATCGTGCAAGTGGCGATTATCATGCTTTTTCGTCCTGCAATCTCACTTTCCATTGAAAGTCGGTCATTAGGGGCGGAGTCTGGAGGCGAAGTCACTGGAAAAAATGGAGGAGCCACTGAACCTATCTTGCGCTACAGCGCCCCTCCCATAGAATTTTTTACCGCGAAACCGGTACAAGGTTATTTGTCGCGGACCACTCTAACCTCCTGACGCCATATTTTCAACTTCGATACCTGATCGCGAACCGTGCCTCTAAAGTAGTCGCTATGTTATCTCATCGCCTGTTATCGCCTCCTGCCACCCTCCAATGATGTTCACGTCCAGCCACTCCAGTTCCAGAAGATCACTTCTTGGAACTAACATTCCACAGTTGCTGTGGTGCGAGTTATGAATTTCTGAACCTGTCCTTATAAGCCCGTTTATCAGCTATTATCAGTCGCGATTTCGTCACCCACCAATAATGTCCCGTCCCACCCCCATATCACTTACCAGCTTGGTCCTCCGCGGCTAAATCGAAGGAAGTTATGAATTTCCGGTCAAACACACGCACATATACACAGTCACACACACACACCAACAGACAAACTTAGCGCATTATATACAGTAGGCCCTTGGAACCAACGTTCCACCATTGCTGGGACCGGCGCTAAGGCAGCGTTCAGGCTTCGCGACGGCAGCGCTTCGCGCGTTCGACGCAATCGGCATGCCTTCGGCTGCATCGATCGCGTCCAACCGCGACCGAGGCGCTGCCGTCGCGAAGTGAACGCTGCCTAAGAATTTGATGACCCCACACAACGCCCCTCATCACATCTTATCAATAATTACCACTTTTTGGCACTCACCAATAATGTTCCTGTCCCACACCTCATCATATCTCGGAACCAAGGTTCCACCACCTTTGGGACCGGCGCTATGAATTTCCTGTTAACACACAC